TATTTAGCATAAAATGTATTATTTACTACCTATCCTCTACTAAATATACATTAAATAATAATAATTATTGAAATTGAGTAGGCTATAAGCATGAATAGATCTATTCACAAACCCATTTTTACTTCCAACACAACCTTATTAATATTTTGTCAGTATTCATCTTCAATTCATTTGATCCGAACAACCAACAATTAAGAAAAATATGTAAAAAGTAAAAATTAATGCATGGATAGCACTACCCTGGACTACAGCCTACCTTAACCTTGTAGGTGACTACGCCATTGGTGGTCGGCGCTTGAGAGCCAAGTGATTTGGTGGACCGAGCACTATACCATTACAACCTAATACCACGCGAAACTGCCGTACGATTATCACCACACATTAATTTGTCAATGGAAAGCCACGTTGGCCCAGACCACTAACTGTTAGATCGATGTTATTAAGCAACTATATTATTAACCTAGCTCATTGCCAAGAACCAACTTGGTGTTCAGACTTATATCATATGCATGTACGGATATGCTACTATAGCAGTTAATAAATTGTAAAACTGGAAAGGCTTTGGATTTATACTCTTTTTCCTCTCGACAACTAAAAAATTTCACTACATTATTTGTTTAGTTTTGGATTGCTATGTAGTAAACGCTTGTGATGTTTTACACTCAGAGTATCATGTACTACGCGTCTTTTAAATGTTAGATCTTTGGTCAAAAACAAAATATTCAAGATCCAACGGCTAAAATATGCAACGTATTTTTTCTCTTGATAGTAGGAGTGGGCACAATACCGTATGATTCAGTTAGAGATTATAACTGAAACAGAATTATATTTGGTATGTTTTATGTGACTTGCACTTCTACGATGACCTATGCGGTTGCAGGTATAGGTCTGCTGCATCTATCGTGTTTTTGTGACAAATTTGTGTTGGTGACGTTTTGTAGGGTAGGGCAATACTTGTGGTAGCCATATAGGGGTTTACTGTAGTTTGTTTGGTTGCACAAATTTATTCCAGATCAATTTCTTGGTAAGTGGAGCTATGTACCTGACTAACAACCTTTGTAACTGTTTGTGAAGTTCAATATTGGAATACCACTCTATTGCTTCTTGTAAACAAAACTCCCAAATTCCAGGGTTAAACTCGTTAAATATATTCTAGAGCTCACATGCATGACTTTATAGAATTGGCATTGTTCGGCTTGGTACGATATTAAAGTTGGAACCAAAACTGAAGCAAATATTTTTTTATATGGTTCGGTTAGATTTCATGGCGTGTACCAAATTTATACTGAACCGCAACATTTCGGTCTTGGTCTTATACTGCAATAGATTTCTCTAAAGTAAACTATATAAAGGAATAACTCCCAAGTCATAAAAATTCTGATTCCAATTTGACACAAGTTATGTATAAGAATAAATTTCACATTGTAATAAGTTATTATTTTTTTGGTCCCATCTTAAGTAAACACACCTCCATACAGTAATAATTATCAATGAGTACAAAAGTATACAATATCACAAATAAAAGTTTATGATGAACTAAATTATTTATCTAAAATTATTTGAGACAATGCTTTAATTTTTAGAATTGACGCCATATTTTTTTTCTTTCAAAAAGAGTACCAATTGGTAGCTTCACAACGGCAATCCACTATTCTAGTAGTTAGGAAGACTCACAAAGACATTTTAACGTCCCATTGCCATCATTGTGCGATTCACCAGCTCCAAGAACCAAACCCAGGACGTGCCTTGTGGAATATGAACCTGAAATTCGTCCCATCTAGTGGACCACGTGGTTAATTGATGCCACGTTTTTGAGCTTGTGATATGTAGGTGCAAGAAATAAAATATTTGGCGTCCAAAATTCCTACTAGGAAACATAACATTTATCAAGGCTAATAAGTTAATAAATAATATTTTTAATTGCACCTCTATTAAGTAATAACCTCCTAATTATAAAATTGGTTTGTTCCCAACTTTATGAATTTACAGAAGTTTTATTGTATAATGAAATAGAATATTGGGATTTCTTCAATTCAACCTCCAAAATTCCAAATCCAATATCCAAGTATCCAACATCAAACGTTCAATTAAACGTTTACAACCAGAATTAATTTAGTACATGTTCTCTTGGCCAGTCCCTTGGGGTCGTATCGAAACGTGAATGTTAGCTTGTTTCGAATTCAATCTCATCTCTCAAGTATGGTCCGCAAAAACAATGAAAGGACAGGTCATTGCACATTTTCTCGCTTCCTGTCAGTCATTGGAATCAAACCCGGCAATTTTTGACACAATACGTAAACGACACGAAAATAACAGATTTCGGGTTAACACAATAACTAATTGAGTCGTTATTGGATCACATGATAAGAACCCGTTAATAACGGGTCCTTAACAGGTTTATACGAGGGTAATGCGCGGGTAACCCGTTTTGACACGTTAAGGAAAAAGTTATTGATGAATTTAATTTTTTTTAAACTACTAAAAAAACTTACTATATAATACAATAGTCATAATGTATACGTATATATTGTATTATTATTTTATTATTATTGTATATAACTTAAAAAAATTTAAAGTTTATCTATTTATTTATTTTTATAGTATACTATAGGCAAAGAGTGAGATTAAAAAAAGTATAAGCATATTAAAAATTAAAATATCAAATAAATTAAAAATACCAAACACATTAAAAAAATTATAATAATTAATTTACAAGTGTGAAAAATGTGAAAAAAAATATGCAAATGCTTGTGATTGCATCATCTATGCTTTGAAGATGGGTACATCGTCGTTTGAATTTTCAAAACCATACAAACCTCATGTTGAGCAAAAATTGTACACATTATGTAAACAAATAATTCACTCAACACAATTTCACCCTCGTTCATTTTTTCGAAGAGGGTTTTTATTAATTCGATTCATGTCATTTCCCACAGACGCCGCCAAATGTTAATGCACAAAACCGGAGGGGTCTTGGAACAACGTAAATCCGACCGTGAATCTACAAGAAAGTAAAAAACACAAGATGTATTGTGGTTCACCCAATGTTTGTGCTACGTCCACACTGATGTTGATTGTATTTCTCTCTAACTGTATGTATGGATTACAAGGGTGAGAGGGAGTCCCCCAGAGAAAGAGAGTCAGATAGTGCTTCTATGTGAGGATGAGAGCTCTGAATATGAGAGTGAGGCTTGAGGATTGTGAGGGTGAGGAGTCCCTTTTATAGACTAAGAGCTCCTCATTTATTACATATTTGCCCATTTATTTATTACATAATTACATTTGAGTCCTTCGAGTATTTATACTAGGTCTAAATACGGAGGCTCTAAGTATGGTACAAACAGATGTTGATTTGTATGTAAAGCCCATTCTCATCTTTTGGGTTAGATTACATTTTTGTTTTGCCTTGTAGTTTGACCCAATTTGTATGGACTTTATTTTTTTATATGTTATATATTTTTATTGTTCAACACCTCATGAATAGTATTTTTAGGGGAATTCAAAATAAATAAAATTCATAATCATTAATGTAAAAGTCTGAAAAATATGAAAGCATATATAAATGCTCGTAATTGCATTCTCTATGCTTAAATGATAATTACATGGTCGTTTAGATTTTTTAAACCCTCCAAATCTCATGAATAGTGTTTTTATTTGAGTGCAAAATAATATTAATTATTGTAGGAGTGTGAATTTAAAAAAAAAAAATATATACAATCACTTGTAGTGACAAACTTTACAACTTTCGATAAGGTGTCAAATTTGAAATCCGACACCATAATCCATAAATTTTAGATTTAAATTTAACCATTGATTGTCGTTTATGCTTTATTCTACTCATCGATTTTCAATTTTTAAATTTTCATTATTTATTGATTTAAAATATATTTTCTTTAACGGATAACGGGTCGGGTCATATTACTTAATTTTATTAACGGGTCAATTTCAGATCGGGTCATATCATCCGTTTACTTTAATGGGTGTTACACGACACGACCTGTTAAGATATCAAGTATGTCACGAAAATGACACGAATACAAAAAACACGACACAAATGCCAAGTCTACTTGGAACCTGAAGAGGTTGAATTGAATCTTGATTTTCTTGATGTGGCATGTATGAGCATGAGAAATTTTTCCTTGGCTGTAACATAAGTGGTATATCACATGTTATTATATAAATGGTAGAAAATTTTATTTTTTATGTTATTAATTTTTTAACACAAGAATCTCATTGCTTGTATAGAGACACATGGACCCTATACTTCGAGCACACTAAAAGTCTTTCGTAAGAGCATACCATGATAAGGTAAGTGAAGATTTTGATGTCCTTGAGTATACTCACTAATGCTGCGAATGCCAGAATAAAAATGATCGAGAATGCTCTTCCTAATTTTTTTTCCGCTCAAATGTTCCCCTATGATTGTAGAAATGCTAGCCACAACAATGTAGTAGTGAGCAGTGGTAGAGCCAAGATTTTAGCCTAGAAAAGGCACAAAAGTCTCAATCTGAAACGCTCTCTTGATCTTACAAAAATTAATGTGATGTGTGGTGAGCAATCAACGTTGTGTGGGTTTGGTATGATGTCGTCCTCGTCATCCTCTTCCTTAAATCTAAACTCCACGTCTCTCTGACTTTCTTCCTCTCTCCTTCCACTAATCCTAGACAAGAATCCTCCTCAAAGCTCACAAGCAACAAATTGCTTGAACTGCATAGAAGCCATCAACTTAAAATCAAACCCAACGAACAAAATTAAAGTCAAAATGTTGGACCCTGAGCCTACAATAAAAATCTTAAAAATCATAAGCATAATAGTAAATGTTTGTCTTTTTATGGCTCCGCCTCTGCTAGAGAGCTGCAATCAAAGATAATGTAAAAATTCACACCATAAGATAGTGTGATTAGAAACCAAACTACTGGATTTTTATAGTGCGAGGCCCATTTTAGACTTAAGCCCATTTGAAGTCGGTTACCACTGTCAACCCGGTTACCGGAGTTGCGATGCCTAAAACCCTGTCTGTCCCCCTTCCCCGCCAATGTTCCGGAGATTTGGGTGTTTGGCAACCCAGAAAAACGAAAGAAAATAAGAAAAAACCAGAGGTTGGAGGGAGGTCGGCAGAAGATGGAGGAGAGAGCAAAATGCTTGGCATTGCTCGGATTCGGAGCTCTGGTAGGCTCTGTTTCCACCATCCTTCTCTTGAAGTTTCGACCAAGGTCAGTCAGTGACTCGAGTTTTTTTTTCCGTTATCAGTAGCTGATTGAGTTGATTTTCGATACGAATATGATGATATTGGTATAAATTCTATTGATTTTTTGATACGAATATGATGATACTCACTGGTAAAGGGGGTTTTGATGTGCTGGGGTTGATTTATCTACTTCTTACTCCGCAGGACTGTCAACGGATGCGATGAAAAGGGAGGTGAGTTGCATAGTAAGCTACCCAATTGTTATTTAATTTGTAGAGAAAAACTGTTTATTTACTTGGTGGTAAGTTATAATTGGCCTTTGCCTGAATTGGGTTTCAAGTAAAAAATATGTAAAGTTTCTCACTTTATCGTTAAGTGATATAGCTTATGCAGGAGTTTTACTCGTGCACCATGTCTCAATTTTTTGTAAGATGTTTCATTCTACGTTATGGTAGGAGTGTAGGACTGAAATGTTTTGTTGGGTTCATATGACATTTTGGTTTGCTTAATTCAGCACCAACTTATGATTCGAGGACATATAATAGAAGTGAAATGCTTGAAGAACTTACCGTTGCTATGTGTACCTTGTGCCGAGTAAAATTGAATATGTAAAAGGTCTCTTTGAGTCTACAACAATGCCCTATTGCTCACAAGTGAGCCTAACCACCTGCATAAATAGATGAAAAATGCTTGCTTGGAAAGCAGTCTATGTAGATTGCAGCTGTTTTGATACCAAATTCATGGGTTTTATGTGTTCACCTTCTATTTTGACTCACCCCATTTGTCTTCCATTAAGTTTGTAGCGATGATGTTTGTTTTTCTCCTTCTTTTGTCGTTTTTATTGTTATTCCAGGTATAGGGCCTGTATCCAAGACACGAACAAATTGTTGTGCAGTTTCTGGGAATGGGAATAACAAGATGGCTGGTGTAGATCTTCTAAGTGATGAAATAGTTTCTGAACAACTAACAAGGTGTATTATCTTTATTCCTGCAAACCATTTGTTTGGCACTCTCTCCTATAGTGAACATACATGATTAGTTGTTTCATAATCTATCCTTTGATTTATTGAATACCTACCACATTTCTTTCTTCTTTAAAGACATTTACTTTTATAGCATTCATTTAAACCAGGAAAATTCTGTAGCCATTTATTCAATCCATTTTAAATATTAAATGTCATTAGGTTCTGAATTTTTGACAGTTTCCATAGAGCATTATTTCAACATACAAAAGGGTTTCTTCACAAAGTGCAAGAAAATGGAATCAGCAATCCTTAAAAAACATAGTTCTTAAGTCTACATCAAAGATGTGATAAAACTGGCAAAATACTCAATGAAAAGGGCTAGTATGGTCTTCTTTGCGTTCTTTACTTACGAAACCTGTACAGGACTGAAAAGAGGGAATATTGGACTCTATTTTTAGATTTATTTCTTAATATGAATATTCTTCTTATAAGAGAGCATATTATTAAATATGCATAAGAATCCTTTATGACATTTCCACATAACGAGGATTTCTGCAAAGATAGGACTTGAGCCATGGTGGGATCTTCTGATATGGTTTACGTAGCTATACATGCTGCCTTTTGTTTTCAACAGGAACATTCAATTTTTCGGACTTGAGCCTCAACAAAAAGTTACTGCATCCTATGTTGTGGTCATTGGTCTTGGAGGAGTTGGAAGTCATGCTGCATCAATGCTTTTGCGATCAGGGGTTGGAAGGCTCCTCCTTGTGGACTTTGATCAGGTATCTCTGTGAAGCCTAAGCATTACTCTTGTCTTGGGCTTCTCCACCTATTTCAAATTTCTTGGGTTGATTCTGTAGTTTTAACATGATAATAAAGCCTTGCAAAGGTTCCTATCTCTTAAAAAGTTTCTGAATTCGCTACTGCTGCTCAGAAACGGAATGTTGATGTGTTTGGGAATTAGAAGGAAAAAGAGGAGGGTATTGAAAAGGATTTTGTGTAAGAGATGTGTTCCCTTCCTTGTCAATTTGGAGAATGAATTGGAACTGACTACGGAATATAAAGAGGTTATTGCCCAAGAGGTTCTGCAAGAACGCTGTTCCCTTCCTTGTCAATTTGGAGCATGAACTGACTAAGGAATATAATGAGGTTATTGCCCAAGAGGTTCTGCAAAAACGTTGGCTCCAGAAATCTGGGAATACCTTGTCGCAGGAGGTTTTGCATTCGAAACCTCCAATCCCAATTCCCAACTTCTTTGTTCATTTTTAAGTTGTAGGTTTGTCTGCATTTCCCTAATTTTCCATTTGCAGCAGGGGGTGCATGCACGGTGGGGTGTTAGCTTTACATCCATTGTTGGCCCATTCCCTAGCACCTTAAGCTTTTGGGCTCTAGTGGTTGTCTAGTGATCTATACTACTTAAAATTATTGATGTGGTTGCAGCCTGCACGAGTTATGGATATAAAATCCCACATCGGGAGTTGGAAACCTTGCATTACAAATATCTTGGGCCTGTCTACATCCAATTGGTTTTGGTCCTCTAATTGTAACAGCTATCAATTATCTTATCATTTACCTGCTAAATGTATATAGATATAAACTAAAAAAACAAACAGACTATGTCAAATTTTGTACAGTTCTTGGCGATACTAGGCAATAGAGATTATTTATTATCAAGTGAGATCTGATACTCTCATGAAGTTCCATTTCAACATATGCAATCAAGTAATTTGCAATAAATTTATCTCCAATCTAATCACAGAATCTTGTTTTATTCATTTTCATACATATTCTTATTTTGACTGGGTTCACTTTTGGAGGTATTGCAAGCTAGACATCTTTTACTTGTTTGCTCCAGCTTGAAGGGGATTGTAAGAAGTGTTTTTATTACCGTCTGAGATCCACAACTTGTGTTTGTAACTGGTTTCTTTTCGTCTTTGAAAAGCATCTAAATAAATGTCATAGAAGTGTTGGATGCCTAGCTTTAGGAGAGCATCCTTCCCCACATTCTTCCCTATCCCCATCTCCTAAAATCTTCTATTCTAAATTCTTTCTAACATCTTTACTTTTATGTTCATTTCATTACAAGGTATCAGTTTCATCACTCAATCGACATGCTGTTGCAACAAGAGCAGATGTTGGCATCCCTAAGGCTCAATGTCTGAAAGAGCATTTCTTGTCAATCTTCCCAGAGTGCCACATAGATGCAAAAGTTTTATTATACAATGAATCATCTGAAGAAGAAATCCTTGCGGGTCATCCTGATTTTGTTTTAGATTGCATTGATAACATCGATACAAAGGTACCACTATTGCCTGGAACTGAAAGTAGTCTGAATGTTTTATTTTAGCTAGCCTTTTATTCTGATTTCTCGTTTAATAAGTCACTAACAATCTGTAAGGTAAATTTAATAATATCTGTATTGTCTTCCTTTCCTTTTTTATTTGAATATCTTCGTAGGTCTATAGATCAGTTAGAGGGAAGGTTCATTTGTTCTTAGTTTGATATCGTATATGTAACGATTACAGTCTCATAATACTTCTTCGGTGACCATGACTTAATTGCTTCATCCATCAGATATGGTATTTGGGGAACGTATTTGATTTTGGGGCCTGTGATAAGTTGCAAACAAATGCTTCGTCATTTAATTTATGGATGCAGATTCTATCCCTTCTATGCATATACTATGTAATTAGACATGTATGTGTCACTTTATGTGAAAATACGGGAACTGCATTAATCCGATGAATTAATTGATTTATGCCGCAGGTTCTGGCCATATGCTTTTGTTGTTTTGTACCTTTCTCTATGATCAATGAATAAGCATCCTATAGTCCGTTAAAGGGCTGTACTTGCGAGGAAATGCAAAGCTGCTTCTAAAATAATGCAAATGTTGAAGCACATCTATAACTATTCTCCTGCTATAATACCACTGCACATGATTTTCCCCTGCACATCATTTTGTACGACCGAGTGGTTGAGATTTGACTAAATCTTATTGAGATAAATCACAACTGCTCATTAGTGTCTTTTGATGCTTAGGAGAGCAAAGCTCATCCCACTGCATGCATCCCACATTGTAGAAAGCCTCAACAAATATCTTTCAGTAGTTGTTTTACAAGCAGTACTGTTTTTTGTTCTGGAAATTATTTGTGTATCCTATTAGGAACTGAAAGTTCATTTTTCAATTCTTGATTTATCATATGTAATAGGTGGCACTTCTTGCTGCATGTGTGCGTAGGGGTTTGAATGTATTATCAGCAACAGGAGCTGGTGCTAGAGCTGACCCAACTAGAATACGCGTTGCTGATTTAAGACAATCAACAAATGATCCATTATCCCGATCTGTAAGGATCTTGACTTTAATTTAATTAATAGTTTTTGTAACACAAATAATGACAAGTCGCCAGGATCTTTTTGACAATTTTCTATTGCTAAACCATGCCATGGATTTTTTTTTATTTTTTATAGTGGAAATAGTTTTTAGCGTTGTACAGTAAATTGTTCCAACACTTAAGTACCTGTATTTTGCCAGAGCTTCTCATGTTTTTTTGGCTTTCCGAATTATTGTATGTAAAATTCACGTAGCATTAGTCAATTGTGTATTGACAATTTTCTATTAAGATACCTTTAAAATATGTTGATGTATTTCTTTAGTATTTCTGGTCAATCTTTTGAGCATATTCGGGACATGTTGTTCCTCAACTTTTTCAGTTCATCTTTATTTTAATTAATAAGGGTTTCCTTTATCCCACGGAACAATGCCTTTCTAATATATTTGTTTGGGAATGTATTCTTGTCAGACAATCTAGTATGCTATGGTGCCAGATAATGATGTTTTGTTGGGATTCTTGCATTGCTCTTATATCTCTTTATCAAATTGGTAATTACAGGTAAGACACCGTTTAAGGAGAGATTATGGTATTGAGGGTGGCGTAACTGTTGTATTTTCATTAGAGAAGCCTAAGGCAAAGCTTCTTCCATTCAAAGGACCAAGTGGAGAGGAAGAAAATCCTTCAGATTATCAGGTAATGATTTAGTTTAATTTATTTGGTTATTTACTTCCATTGAATTGTATAGATCCCAGGCGTCGTAAATTTCTTAAGGTGTTGTAAAAAAATTCACTGTCTTCTTACTATGACATCAGATCCTACCGGGGTTCAGGGTTCGCATAATACCTGTTCTTGGCACCATCCCTGCAATATTTGGACAGGTCATGGCCTCCTTTGTTTTGACGCAACTGGCTGGATTGCAAGTTCAAACAGAGCCTATAGTAAATTTGGACATTGACCATTACCGGATGCTTCACCAACGCCTTATTGAACATGAGGAGTCATTGTATGGAACTGCCTTGCATGTCCAGGTATAGAAAGGTCTCCTCCCTTAAATTTGCTCCTTTGAGGTTACCGTACTGTTGAATGTTTGGGAATGGCTATGGCTTTTCTAACTTCTTTTAGGATTTCTTTTGATTTCTTTAATGGGATGATATAGGTTTGTTCTTAACTGGGTCATGTGTAGTTGGGGCTGTGGAGCAGTTGGACTCCCAATGGCTAATAGTATTTTCTTTGTTCTTTATTGTTTTTGTTAATGAATTAACATTTAAAAGCTTCCTGTAATAATAGCATGGAAATTACATAATGCATCCCCTCATGTCGAATCCAAGAGTGGTTCTATGGTGACATAAAGCGTTCTCTCTTTTGTAAGGTTCCTTGACACTGATGAGCTGCCTTCAAAGGTCATTTCAAGAATCCACTCCAAATGGTTGTGGGGCTTCTAATCAATGGAATGCTCCGGATTTAGTCCTCTGAAATTATTCTCTATATTCCTCATCAATATTTTAGTCAAAACTGCGATGGACTAGGATTTGTATTTCATGTCATTTTTGAAGTCACAACTGACATATTTTATGCCAAAACTCTGTTTTTGGTTTTTTGATCTACGAATGTTTTAATGTTCCGTTCTAAGTGCCACTTATTAGTCTGTAGGATAGGATAGTTATAGTCAATGTGAGCACAACTTTAGACCGATTTTTACTGGTATGCAGAGGAAAAGAGAAACACGGGCTTATTCATCAGAATTAATTGTTTTGTGGCTGTTCAGTGTTCTTATTCTCTTAAAATATCCATCTAAGTAATGCTGCAATACTCATTTACCCTTTTTGATAGGTGGATGTTGAGGAAGTGATGTATATTGCAAAAGAGTTGGGCATGGAAGAAGTGCAAGAGAGCCATTCGCTAAAGATGTAGGACGTGGGATGTGGCGATCGGTAAATGAGTTAATGCTTGTGAGGTACGGATTCACTTTTGTATTACCATTGATCAGCAAGCATATAATATTTCATGTTTAAATCTCATAAACGAATACCTGTGTGAAACAATGAACTTGGTAGAGAATCTTTCGATCTTTAAGCACAAACATTTGAAGGATTAAAGGTTTATTTATCACTGAAGTGTTCAACTTCTTGTTCCTTTCTTCCAGGTGGGACAGGGAAAAGCCGGCATCTGTATCCAACCTAATTCTCTTAAAATTTAAAGAGGTATGTGAGAGTATATTCAACTTTGGCACATTATCGGTGCTTCGTTAAACCCGGAAGCCAGCTATTTCGATTGAATTTGGTGTTCATAAAATGCAAGTACATGCTAGTTCACATTTGCCTGCAATATTTTGTCTTTTGACATGTCAAATTGTTGGAAGTTCTTTCCTTTCTGTATGGTAGACGTTGAGTTCCCCAGTTAATGGTCAAATGGATCGGCATCTAAACTAGTGGAAGCTTTGAACTATCAAAATTGCTTTTGGTTTCGATTGGTACGTATAAGCTTGAAATTGTTCTCCCTTCCCTTTTGCAAGTGACAAGTTAATTTCGATTTTCATTGGGCTAATAATAGTTTCCTCAGAATCACAAGGAGATGTATCCTAAATCATTCCCATTTACCCTTAATTCGAACGATGGGATGAATTTAAGTGCGGTTAAATCCACTCTCATACGAGCTACTGGCGGTTCATTCATTTGACCGTGTAGACTAGAGCCACTTTTGTTAGGAATGTTAACCTCTTAGCCGACGGCAACCAAAGGAAAATAGAAATCCTCTTACCTGTACGTGATAATATGGTATGATCTGCATGGTAATGTGATTTGCTGGTATAACGAAGGAGTCTGATGTCGATGCAAGTTTTTATAGGTGTTGTGTTAGTTGCTTTACAACTTTATTTTGTTTCTTCGTTTTTTACGGTTTCCTAACATGGTCTGTTTCTTGTGTTCAGGCAGATGAACATGAATCGATTACTCTGGAGGATATTAAAGAAAGAGAAGCAGAGTTTTTCGATAGAGTGACCTCTGTTCTGAAGCGTGCTGAGCTAGAATTTGGCTTGTAACCAACGAGGCTCGTGACTCGTGAGCTGAGAAGGTCTCTGTAACTAACAACCTTTGATACATGTACGTCTAAACTCGATCGATATAAAGTTTGGATCCGTTTCAGCAGCGTTTCAATCTTCACTAAATATGTATTTTACATGAACATGGTTGTTATATTACTATTGGAACTTGAAACTGGGCATCGAAACAAAGAGCCTTTTTTGCATATTTTGGATTATTTGTGTTTTCCTCGAATGATAAAAACTATCATTCGTCGCGAGATTTGATTTTAAGATTGTTTTCCGAACAACTAATCAAAGCCGTATATGAAGCAACATTCTGTGCAAGGGTCGCACAATTTGGAGGGAGGAATGAGAGATTTAGGGAAATGAGTACTTTCATATCAATATTATCATAAATTTAGGGTATTAAATTTGGTTATTTGTTCAAAATTCCGCCGACGAAATGAGCCTAAAGTAAGGGGGTAGGTGTCGTAATTTACAAATTATCTAGGGGTTATTTAGGTCTTTTGGAAATTTCATTCAGGACAAATATGCGGCCGCGGGAAAAAACACGACCTGAGAAACAGCAGAATGCTAATCAGACAAAGAACAAGGCCCCTCCTAATCCTAAATTTCTTCCGCCGGTTCACGACAACCGAATCGACTCAGCCCCAACTCGCCACCGCCGCCCCATCCCCGGTCGACCCGGCCCACCTCCTCCGGGTCTGCACCATTCTCTACCAGCAACAGAACTCGCCCGAGTCACGTCTCCACTCGAACCTCAACTCCTCCGCCTTCCAACTCACCCACGAGTTCTTCCTCCAGGTCTGCAACTCCTTCCCCCTTTCATGGCGGCCCGTCTACCTCTTCTTCCGCTACACTCAGTCCCACCACCCCCGTTTCACCCACACCGCCGTCTCCTTCAACAAAATGCTCGACGTCATCGGCAAGTCCAGGAACATCCAGCTCTTCTGGGACACCCTCCATGAGATGGGACGTCGTCGTTTGGTGAATCGCAAGACTTTTCTGATTGCTGTCAGGACGCTGGCCAAGGCCAGGGAGTTGAACAAGTGTGTAGATTTCTTTCACGCCATGAATGGGTTTGGATTCGGGTACGATTTGGGGAATTTGAATATGGTGGTTGAGGATTTGTGTGGGTCGAAGCTCGTCGTTGAGGCGAGATTTCTGGTTTTGAAGCTGAAGGAATCGATTCGGCCCGATGGGTTTACTTACAGGTGTTTGATTCAAGGTTTTTGCGATGTGGGTGATTTGATCGAGGCTTCAAAGATTTGGAATTTGATGGTGGAAGAAGGGTTCGACCCGGATATCGATGCCGTTGAGAAGATGATGGAGACCCTTTTCAAGACGAATCGATACGGCGAGGCGCTGAAGGTTTTCCAAATGATGAGGGTGAGCAGAATGGAGGATTTGGGTCTCTCAACTTACAGGCTTGTGATTGAGTGGATGTGTAAAAGGGGCAAGATTGAGGAAGCACATGAGGTGTTCGAGGAAATGCACAAGAGAAGGATTGAGGCAGATAATTTGACATTGGCGTCACTGGTTTACGGGCTTTTAGCAAGAGGACGAGTTACAATGGCGTTCAAGGCTGTGGAAGGGATCGAAAAGCCAGATATTAGCTTGTACCATGGGTTGATCAAGGGGCTTTTGAGGTTGAGAAAGGCGCGCGACGCGACGGAAGTGTTTAGGGAGATGATCAGAAGACGGTGTGAGCCTAACATGCACACTTATATCATGCTATTGCAAGGACATCTGGGGAAGAGGGGGAGGAAGGGATCGGATCCTCTGGTGAATTTCGACACCATTTTTGTTGGGGGTTTGGTGAAGGCAGGGAAGTCGTTGGAAGCCACCAAGTATGTGGAGAGGGTGATTAAAAGAGGACTCGAGGTCCCTAGATTTGATTACAACAAGTTTTTGCACTATTACTCAAATGAAGAAGGGGTGGAGATGTTTGAGGAGGTGGGGAAGAAGTTCAGGGAGGTCGGGTTGGTGGATTTGGCGGATATTTTTCAGAGGTACGGGGAGAAAATGGCGACGAGAGATGGAAGAAGAAATAGGGCAGGAGAGACGTGAAGAGAGGTTGAGAGTCCCTAAAGCCCAACAAATTTTTTATTATGACGGGAATGCTAGTGGTTAATCATATTTTTATGCAAGTGAGGAAATTTTTTATCCAAGTTCCCTGACCAATCACGAATGATCTATGTGATGGAAAGAAGGGTATCTAGGATTAGCCTTCCCCAAATCCGATGACTATTGTTTGAGGTAGAAGAAGATGATGATTCTGTATATACAGAGACAGACAGACGATAAAATTTGCTAGCAGATAGCATATTGTATGTGTAAATAATTTCTCTTAATAAGTACATTTTTTTTTAATATTAGATAATTATTATTTTGCTTTTCTTATGTAAATATTGTGTATCAAAAGTGAGGGTAAAATTAGAAAATAAGTATAAAAAATAGGGTAAAATAAAAAAAAATAGGGATATGTTGTTATTTTGTCAAAATGTACAAAAGTACTATTTTGCCCTCATTTTGTTAATAGTGTATCCAAAGTGAGGGAAAAATAGGGAAAAAAATGGCAAAAATTTGACAAAAAGGGTTCTCTTAATAATAATATAGATTTAACCATTGCCTGTTTTTGCATTACTTGCAATAACTTGTTGAAAACTCAACATTATAGAATTGATTATGAATTATTTATAGCTCTATATAATTTAATTATCTTTACTGTTTTAGGTTCATTTTCCTTTGTTATTTGGGACCAAAGTATTAAATATCGATGATATCGAAAATATCGGTAGTTTAAAAACACGGAAATTTCGATGGAAATTTCGGGATATTATCGATATCGATAAAAATTGAATAAAAACCACGGAAATTGAAAGAAAAACTTGAAAATTTTTATTGAAACTTTGCAGGATATTTATTTAGTCAATTATCTATTAGTTTATCACAAAAAATTGGAATGAAATGCATTGCATAATAGATATAACTGATTTAAGTTGATTATATAGCGAGCTGACAAACATTGTGAGTGTATAAAATATGTAGTAATTAATGAAAGAAGTTTAAACACACCATAATTATTTATATATAATGAATTAGTACAATATTTTACACTTTATACATTGCATGTTAAGATACATGAATGACTTAGCAATGTTTAAAATATCGATGATATCGGAAATATCGGTTGTCCAAAAACACAGAAATTTCGATGGAAATATCGGGATATTATGCATATTTTAGACCATGTTTGGGACCTAGATGTTATTTTCCCCAGTAGTATTTTGAGTTGATCGGTGTCGATTACAACAGATTTTAGGTGTTTTAGCCGTAGATCAAGATGGTTTGTTAAATAAAAAAAAGGTAAATAGCTTGCTTAAGTTAAGCTACAGTACAATGACTCATGAGAAAAGCAGAAGTACAACTGCGATGCTGGTCCATATACATAGAATGCAATCCAGTTCTTAGTATAAGGATTTTGATCGGTTGCTGCACATAGCTAGATCCTAGATCAGGTCCATGGGATCGGCTAAAATCATCAGATATTCTCGACATATTAATTAAATATTTGGATTTTTTTATTTCCTCTAAATCTGTGTTTTTGACATTTTTTTAAAGTTATATTTTAAATTTCCAATTTTTTTGGCAAATTTTTATCATTTTCCCGAAAATACTGTACATCCATCGATATTTTTACAAATTTTCATCATATGCAGACTTCGATTTTTATCAATAAAACTTAGTCTTTAGACGGTTGCCTAGAAATTATATTGAATTCCAACTTTATTCAAAGCCGACTGGTGCTGCACTTATTTTTCTATATTCTTAAAACCAAAATGGAGTCCAGCTGCATTTTTCTTAGCCGAAACGTTATCGACTCGAACCAACCGACCAAGAGCCAAAATCCAGCCCAATTTGCCACCTGGCATGACACGTGGAATGCAACAAGAACAAAACAGTAAGGACCCCCCTAACCCTCCCAACTTAATCCACCGACAGCGCACTTCCCATTTCCCCCACACAATTGAATCGAGATCCTCGTTGCCATTCATCACTCTGCATGCAAATCGACGTGTCAAAGTCTCGTCCCACAGAACCACGTAGCAGCTACAAACGCACCCCACCTCCACGTGTCTAATTTCATAACTCCACCGATTATATATACGGCCACCCCTTACCTTCCGGAGTACCAAAGGAAGATACAGCAAAGAAGAAAGAAGTCAAAAGCGTTTCAAGTGTTTGTTTGAAAAGAAAAAAATCGTGTCTAATTTCGAAGTGCAATTTGTGGGTTATCAATGGCGTCGTCGAAGCAAATGAAGGAGGAGACAGCTGCCAAGGCAGCAGCGAGGCTCGCTGCCGATGAACCGGCGGAAGAGACTGTCGTGGTGGAGACTACTTATGTGACTGATGACCAGGGGAGGCCAATAGAGTTTGCACAGCGCGAGGAGAAGCCCGGTGTTTTCGGGTCGATGATGAAGGCAGTGACGGGGACTTTAGAGCATGCCAAGGAAGCTGTGGTGGGGAAACCCCACGAAGAAAGTCAGGTTCAAGAGAAGGGCAAGGAGTATAAAGACTACACCACCCAGAAGGCGAAGGAGACCACTGATGCAGCCGGGGAGAAGATAAACGAGTATACTGAAACCGCTGAGGAGAAAGCGAAGCAGACCGCGGAGAAGGCAAATGAGACGAAGGAAGCGGCTAAGGGGAAGGTGGGTGAGTATGCGGATTACACAGCTGAAAAGGCGAAGGAAACTAAGGACACCGCTGCTCAGAAGGCGAACGAGGCTGCTCAAAAAGCGAAGGAGACAAAGGACAGCGCGGCTCAGAAGGCAAAGGAGGCGAAGGATGCAACAATGGGGAAAGCAGGCGAGTATACAAACTATGCAGCTGAGAAGGCAAAGGAGGCGAAGGACACAACTGTGAACAAAGCTGGCGAGTACACCAACTACACCGCCGAGAAGGCGAAGGAGGCCAAGGACACAACATTGAACAAGGCGAAGGAGGCGAAGGACACAACGATGAACAAAGCCGGCGAGTACACCAACTACGCCGCCGAGAAGGCGAAGCAGGCCAAGGACACTACGGTCAACAAAGCTGGTGAATATACCAACTATGCGGCTGAGAAGGCCAAGGAGGCTAAGGATGAGACGGTCAAGACAGCAAAGGAAACCAAGGACTGCACGGCTGAGAAGGCTAAAGAAGGGAAGGATACTACCGTGAGCAAGTTGGGTCAGCTAAAGGATACCGCTGCCGGTGCCGCTCAAAAGGCCATGGACTACTTGTCCGGCAAGAAGGAGGAGACCAAACAGAAGGCTGCCGAGACTGCCGAGAAAACAAAAGACACGACTTATGAGACTGCAGAGAAAGCGAAGGTATAATTACTAATTCTTGATTGATACATGTACGTTCATATAAACAAACAACATTAGATTTATCATCATGTAACAATCTTTTTTGTGTTTTGTAGGAGAAACTGAGTGAGACTGAGGAGGAAGCGAGGAGAAAGATGGAGCAGTTGAAGTTGCAAGGAAAAGAGTACAAAGATGAAGATGCTGACAGGGCACGTGAGGCACGTGACATCGAGGCCGAGAAAGGGCAGGCAGCGAAGGAAAACATATTCAGCTCGATTGGGAGCATTCCTGGTGCCATCAAAAGCAAGTTGACTCATCCTACGGATGTGGTGGAGGAGTCACGTGCCGCACGTGAGAGAGGGAGTACGGGGAGAAGGACCGTTCCTGTTGTGGAGGGGGTGGAGGTTGATGTGGCGGAGACGAGGCCTGGTGCCGTTGCAAGCAAGTTGTACGAGTCGGACCAGATGCATGGTCAAAACTTCAACGACGTGGGTCGTTTGGACGAGGATTGTAAAACGCAAGCGGAGATCCGCATTGATAACGAGGGCAAACGCGTGGAGCGCCTCCACAAAATGTGATCGCTTCCAACATGGGTAGCGTGGACATGACTCCACCTTTGTAATGTGTAATGTTGTCGTACTTTTGTTTTTATGTCGTTTTTTGGGTATGTTGTGGTTTGGCTTACATAAATTGGCTTTGCCATCTTTATCGTGTATAACAGGGTTTGGTTATGACCTACATCTTGTGTTTATCGTGTACAATTTCTTCAAATTCACGATTTTCTTAAGCCCAAGACTTGGCGATCGTGTCATCGACATGGTGAAGGAAAGAAAGTGTTTGGTTTACCAAAAAAATCTTGGGCGTGGATGAATTTTTATGGGCTTAAGTATAACTTCACCCAAATTCCATCACAAAGTAACAGGGCGATTAGCTTGAAGCAGGAGAGTCCCAAAGCACCCGCTTTGACAGTACTCACCAAGTCAAGTAATCGATCTTGTAAATTTGTAATGCAAGAATCATGGCGATAGAACTCGCACTTAATTATGGGATCTTGAGAGTGATAAAAGAAGTGATTTGCTAGACATTCACCATGTTCAGAATGTTTACATCATCCATGGATGAAAGTGAGCTAAACCCTATTTTATATGAACCTCGTGATTGCTCGAGTGAATTAACATTGATTTGGGCAAGTATCTACAGTTCGGGGGTGCCGACCAGGGATGAACATAAACTTGTAAGCAACGACTACAGGGAGAAACCAGTATCCGACTAGGGATGGACGTAAACTCGTAAGCCACGGTTGCAAGGGAGAAATCGGAAGGGAACTGTATCCGACTAGGGATGGACATAAATTCGTAAGGATAATCGTCCGGGTCTTCTTGGGCATTACCCAAATAAAGTCGAAGTTAGCCCGTGCGTTTATGTGGTTACTGCGTGTTTATGTGGTAAAAAAAGACGTGAGAAATGACGAGTATGGTTACACTGCGAGTTTATGTGGTTTCTTTCGTGTGGCATAAGTGTGTATGTTTCTGGACTCAAGTAGTCTAAACCAAGGAACAAAATATCGATATTATCGACAAAATATCGTCGATATTATCGTTTTTTTAGATACCGATATTTTCACTTATCCCTTAATTATTGTCCATATATCGCGATATTATCGATAATATCATAAATATTGCAATATTATCACTAAGGGTAATGATTTTCTGGTATGCTTTTAAGTTTGGGCTGATGGTCCAATTTATAATCCCTCCACCAGCTTCTTCTTTATGACTTGGGCGATGTGGGACAACAGTGGTCCATTTTATAATCCCTCCACCAGCTTCTCTTTATGCCTTGGGCGATGTGGGACAACAACAACAACTCTAATTTTGTTCTAGTGGTGGTTCCTCGTCTGGCTCGCGTTCTTCTGGTTCTACTTCTAGAGCCTATAATTTTGTTCTAGGTTTCTCGGTGCTGCACATGTTGGACTGCCTCATTTTTCTCCTTTTGATAGCTTTACTGGAGGGAAGATTCAATGCCAAAT